TCGGGCCCGCCGTGGGGCCGCCGCTCGCTGACCGGGTGCTGCTGCTCCCAGGTGACCCGGCATTTTACTGCCGTGCTCTTGCAAGGTGAAGCGGGGAGGGGGCTGTGCTGCTTCCCAGGACGGCTGGTGCCTGGCGTTTGGCTGCTCGAAAAGCTCCAAAAGATGCAGGTTGGCCAAAGGTAGCCAGGATAAGTTCCTCTGTGAGTGTGCGTAGGGATGTGCCTTTAAAAACAGTGACTGACTGTCTGGTCCAAGCCCCAGCCTTTCAGACCTGCTGACTTGTCAGGTATTTTCAAGGAGAAGTTTGCCAGGCCTCGTCCTTCGGAGAAGGCCAGCGATGTAAAAATAGATTTCAAAAGCAGCTCTGAATAAAAAGTTTGAGCAGGTCCCTTGGTTGCCTTGAAACTTGCCTCCTCCCTGGATTCTGCATGTCGGCTTTTGTGGCACTGCTGTGTTACTGGGTCACTTGTAACATCCGCTGCTGCCTGTGCGTTTTGTTCGTTTTGCAAAATAAATATGACTGTCGTAATGTGTCAGCTGTAAGCACAGCATCATTCAAAAAGAAGGGTTTTCTCTCTTGAGTTGGTGTCCTGTTGCACTAGTTGTTAAATGTCTAGCTTCTTAAAATGACTACATTAGAAAGTAACATGGACAGCATGCATTCTGTTAGTTCAACAGGTTGTTCCTAGCTGCATATAATCCTACTCTTCTTCCAAAATGACTTCATGGAGATTGGAAAAATCTTTAATTGTTTTAATTCCTGTTTCTTCAATATGTCTGTTTGCTTTGATCACCAGCCCTAATTGCCAGTTAAATAGGTGGGGGTTACTGATGTTGACTAAAGCTGCAGTCACTAATAAGAAGGCTTATACTTAAATACCAACTTTGTGTTTTCTGAATATTCCTTTTCCATGTTATGGTAGTTGCCAAAGTCTGTTCAAAAAAAAGGGACTGAATTGAGCAAAGTGAAGAGACTGGCTTGTCTCCAGGGTTTTGGTTTATAGAGACTGTTGCAGATTACTACTGTTCCTGAAAAAACTATGTTTGAAATTCACACAGTAACTAAAAACTGTCTTAACTTTAATAAGCGTGTCAGTCACCAAACAGATTAATTAAGCAGCTGGAAAATAGGTCAGGGCTGTATTATAAAGTGGCACGATGAGGTTGCAAATAAATAGAGCAGTATGCAAATTTTGTGGTGACTTAAATGGAGAAAATTGATACTGATATGTTGTTATATTGATGACTGCATTATTTATTTATTTATTAGTAGGCTGATCTTCTCCAAAAAAGGCTTAGGGAGCTTCACAGTAAAAGACAAAAAAAAAAAAAAAGGAACAGCTGAAATATATTCCACATTTAAATAAATATGTGATGTACCAAATGTATCTAATTATAATTCAAAAGAGAAATTAATTAGGATACTTATGCTTTTGTTTCTGTGCTAACTGTTGGAGACTTTGGCTACAGTGCTCATCCTGCTGCTCATTCAGGGTGTGGTGTCTTTTATGATTGTAATTTATTTCTTCACAGATCTACTTGGGTAGAAGTCCTAACCAGGACTTTTGTGGCATTATACTTCTGTATATTTTGAAACACACTTTATAGAGTAAGTAGTATTGCGTTGCCTTGAAATCTGTTTAAAAAAATTAAACAGTCCATTGTCTCAGTTCCCTGGCCATGACTTCTGGTTCCCTATTTTTAGGTGTTTTTTTCCCCCCTGCCCAATAGCTTCTGTGAGAGAGACCCACATAAACAGGAAACAGCGAAACTGATTTTGCACAACATGAAGAAACTGAGGGGAGAGGGGAAGAAACAATTGCCCCTCACATCTCATTTACTTACAAATATCATAGTTACAAGATTCAGATTTTTGAATACAAGTGGGGTTTGGGTGGTGTTTTTTTGGGGTGGGGTTTGTTTTCTTAGAGGATGTTGCTTAAAACAGCACAGTGATTTTGAGGGTGGAACATTAAAGTCAGCAGGA